TTTTTAATTTGCCCTTTACTGTGATTGGTTCCTAACTATCATAATATTTTATACAAGACATTGATTTACTTCAAAAGCTTACCTCTAAATAATTTTGGGTCACAGAAATGAGAAAAGTTATTGCCTATTCCTTGTCTTATCACAACTATTCTACATCTGGTACGTACCTGTGTATGGTACGTACCTTCTCTAAGTACTTGTACACATATATCTTGTAATTTTAACTTTGCAGCTTAAGCAAATACCTACTTTAACTACTTTTATCAATCAAAATATTCTCTTGACTGCAACAGTGGGGATGAGGATTCACATGCAGCTCACGCACCCATGCTGCAGGTCTTCTCATGCAGATGGAGCCATGGAGAAAAAGCATACAAATCATTTCCTAATATTAGGGGCTCTGGGCACTGCAGTGTACGGGCCTTGCAATGATCTGACTCTCCTGTCAGACACAACATCTTTTTCCCTGTCGGATACTGCAGGGCTACAGGCTGCCCTTCGGAAGCACACAGCTGTCCCATGGAAACTCTGTGTTACTCAAAAGCCCCATGGAGAATAGCTCTTAGTGGTAAGGCCATGGGAATGCAGTGGGCAACTGTAATGACCCATGTGTGCCTTGGTGGGAGGGGAGAGCTGAGGTCCTCCTCAGGTATGATGAAACAAGGTGAGGAGTCTAAAGGTTTGCACTTGGAAACTGGATTCCACTGCTCTCAGCAGTGTCCAGTTGCTTTTCCACAGAAACATCTGATTGTGGTCATGCCCCAGCTGAAAGAGATGTCAGCACAGCGCAGCTGAGACCAGGACTGATGGACAGACCAGCTCTGCACTAAGGGAGAGTCCTTTTTGCCTGTCAGAACCCACAAGGTTTCTCCTGGAGCGCAGCAGAAATGCCAAGGATTTCTGACTTAAAAACACTCCTCAGGTGTGGTGGAGAAACTAGAACACAGTAAACAAAACAAAATCCCATCAGCTCTGCTCTGCTGTCAGGTGAGTAGGGAGGGACAATGCTGAAAAGCTTTTCGATATCATGAGTGGATCTCATGTGAGATCACCCTGTGTTCCTATTTACCCAGTGATTTAGTGCAGGACTGACTCCTGAAAAGCCCACGCAGAGCCACCTTCTCCGTGGTTGACCATGAGCCATCACCAACCAGAATGCACAAAAAGGACTCACCAAAGGTCTTCCTGAAAAAGAAGAGCTATTTCGTGGCTCTATGGGCAATTGAATAGACTTTTTCTCCGAGATGTATGCCCTAACTGCACACTAGCTTTTCTTCCATGCACAGGTCTCCGTGCCCAGAGGCAGCAAATGTCCAACAGCAGCTCCATCACCCAGTTCCTCCTCCTGGCATTTGCAGACACACGGGAGCTGCAGCTCTTGACATTCTGGCTCTTTCCTGGGAATCTACCTGGCTGCCCTCCTGGGAAACGGCCTCATCATCACTGCCGTAGCCTGCGACCATCGCCTCCACATCCCCATGTACTTCTTTCCTCCTACACCTCTCCCTCCTCGACCTGGGCTCCAGCTCCACCACTGTCCACAAATTCATGGCCAATTCCTTGTGTGACACAAGGGTCATCTCCAACTTGGCATGTGCTGCACAGGTGTTTCTGTCTGTCTTTTTTATCTCAGCAGAACTGTGTCTTCTCACTGTCATGGCCTATGACCGTTACGTGGCCATCTGCAAACCCCTGCACTACGGGACCCTCCTGGGCAGCAGAGCTTGTGTCCACATGGCAGCAGCTGCCTGGGGCAGTGGGTTTCTCTATGCTGTGCTGCACATGGCCAATACACTTTCACTACCCCTCTGCCAAGGCAATGCTGTGGACCAGTTCTTCTGTGAAATCCCCCCGATCCTTAAGCTCTCCTGCTCACACTCCTACCTCAGGGGAGCTGGGCTTCTTGTGGTCAGTGTTTGCTTAGCATTTGTGTGGTTTGTTTTCATTGTGCTGTCCTACGTGCAGATCTTCAGGGCTGTGCTGAGGATCCCCTCTGAGCAGGGATGGCACAAAGCCTTTTCCACATGTCTGCCTCACCTGACCATGGTTTCCCTTTTTCTCAGCACTGGCATGTTTGCTAACCTGAAGCCCCCTTCCATTTCCTTTCCATTTCTAAATCTGGTGGTGTCATTTCTGTACTCAGTGGTGCCTCCAGCAGTGAACCTCCTCATCTACAGCATGAGGAACCAGGAGATCAAAGATGCCCTGAAGAAACTTGTGAATGGATGATTTTAATCAGCAATTAAATGCTCGTCTTCTGCAAATCTCATTGCACACCTAATGTAACTCATTATAAGGCACAGTGTTGCTCTGGTGGTTTGTTTTAGCTTTTCTTTGTTATAATAATGGTGTGCACAAAAAGTGTCCTTCTTCATCCCACTTCTCTTTCACTATCCATCTGGTTTTTGTGACCCAAGGACTGTGTAAATGAGGAGCCGTGCTCTCTGTGTGTTCAAACAAGATAAAGCACCCTGTGGATACTTTATGACCTAAGGTCCTTCTCTGAGACCTTTGTAAAGCTGGAGGTGAAGTACCTTGGTGCAGAAGTGGACAGGAAAAGCAGTCCTGGCACAGTAGCACTGCCAGGGAGCACCAGTTCCTGGTCTTTCCCAAGATGCTCTCTTTCCCCTTCCACACTCTCTTTCTTAGCCCTTGTGTGACTGTGGGGTCCGAGCGCTCTTGCAGCTTGATCATAGTCCTGCAGTGTGGTGGTCCTGTGACAGCAGGCAGGGCCAGGCAATGAGCACTTGTGTGACAGAGCTGACCTCCATAGCAGCATTTCCATCATCAAAAAGGATCTTCTCAGTGCAGTGCCTGAAGGTTTATGTCTTCTGTCAAAGTTGCTCTCAAGAAAGTGCCCAAGTAAGGAAAACGCTTGTGAACAGCTAAATTGTGCAGGGTGGTGGCACACAGCTGTGTCATGGATGCTCATCAGAGAATTCAGTCATTGACACCCAAGAATGACTCCTTGCTGGACACCCCATCCACTGCATACACCATATGGGCTGCTATGGAGAAAATTAACTCTATCCCAGTCACACCCAGTACACCAAATCTCCCCTCCCAAGGCATTCCTAGTTGCAGTTCTGTCTCATTTCCCAGTGCAGACCAGCACACCTGGTATCAGTTCTGTCTCATTTCCTGCCCAGCACAGACCAGCACAAAGCCATTTCCACCTGCCTCCCCCACCTGGCTGTGGTCTCCCTGTTTGTCAGCATGCAGTGTTTGCCCACCTGAAGCCCCCTCTATCTCTTCCTCGCTTCTAGACCCACTGGTGGCAGTTCTGTACTCAGTGGTGAACAGCACTAAATCTAGCAGTAAATCACCTCATCTACAGCATGAGGAACCAGGAACTCAAGGATGCCCCATGGAAACTGGCCCAATGGACACTGTTTCACCAACATTAACCTGCCTGCCCTTCTCATCTCATTTTCCAGATTTTATATTAGACCAGGAGTCTTTTTTCTCCTGTGATTATTCGGATTATAAATAGTGCAACAATTGCACAGAAGAAATTTTCCTATTTGCCAAGAGAGAAAATTAGGAACATGAATATTTTCATAAACAAAAAAACACACTCTAAGTTCACACATGCTAAGTTCAAGCTGCCTTTAATGAAATTTGCTATCTGCAAGGGGATTAAATTATCAGAACAGTTTTAGATAGGTAGATACAAAAAGATAGATATGAAAACAACTAAAGAGTTGGTAAAGATACCATTAAACTACTGAAAGATAGGCAACACTTTAACTCCTCAAAGCTCAAAGCAGCAGCATAAATGAGTGGTATCACAATGAACAAAGCTTAAGGAGAAGAGAAAACTGGAGAATAATGGGACAGACCTTTGTCAAAGCAGTCTGCATCTGAAAAGATGATTTTAGAAATGGTCAGTGTATCAGTAAAGGTGAGAATATATGAAAGGTTAGAGAAATTAAACACACTGCATTACACGCAGAATAGTGGTAATGAAATTTTACTGGAAGATCGATATTTCTTTGGAATACCACTTTAGCAAGGTCATGGGATTGGTAGAGGTTATTTGTGAGTGAGAACATGCAGTTGTTGCATTCATCTTTGAAAGAGGCCAAACGTGCAACCCAGGGAACCACAGGCTCTAGAAGCTGACTTTTGTGGGGAGCGAGCCTGTGGGAGTGGGAGTAGGACTTCCCGGAG